AATTCTTTTATTTTCTTACATAGTTTAAGTCCCCTCCATTTTTACAATTCTTACATCAACTAATTATTGATTATTATCTATTTTCTATCTATCATGTTTCAGTTAAAAAAGTACAAACCTCCTCCTTCTCATTTAGCAATAGTTGTCTTAATGAACTTAGGCATCCAAGAACAATATTAGGTGCTTTTTGTGATTATGTCTGTTGCCTTTTTCTATTTCAGGGAAGAAAAACTAGTGCCAGCGTGCCAAACTACTTATAGTGGATGCAGGAACAGATCCTTGTGCTGATATTGGTCCGTTATTACTAAGAGGTGAAAACATTTATCCCATTTTCCGAGGTGTGTTTTTTTGTTTATAAAGCCACTGATATTACATCCTGCTCCCCATCCCACCCCCCCCCATGAACGACTGGGAAATAATTCGTTAGGTTTTGTTATTTTGTTTCTGATCAGGGCCAATGAAAGGATAAATCAGCGACTAGTTCAGAGGAGGTGTCTAAAATGGAGGCTAGACTTCTACTTGATGGAAGAGATATTGTGGTACAAATTTGTTTCACAAATTACTTTGATGTTCACGGTTCCAAAAGGAAACATTTCCCTTTAAAAGTGTTAAATTTTCCTTTTGAAAAAAGACACTGAGTTTTCAGAGCTTGCTTTACATACAGATACCGGGATATGAGAGTGGGAACTTTGTTGGTCCTACCATCTTATGTGATGTTACTACAAGCATAGAATGTTACAGGGTATATATTATTTCGGTGTTTGAATACTCTCTCTCTCTCTCTCTCTCTCTCTCTCTGTGTGATTGGCAGGAATTTTAATGGTATTTTTAGTAAAAGTGACCATGCTGTCTTTTGTTTCACCGGAAGAAATATTTGGACCAGTGCTACTTTGCATGCAGGTGCTGTTTAGTCCATACTAGTCTATTTTTTAACCTTTTTGCCTTGCTGAAAATAAAGCGACAATGTTATTGTTTATTGTTTTTAGGCTGATAACATTGATGAGGCTATAGCAGTAATAAATAAAAACAAGTATTTGTTTTACTTCGTGCTCCTTTATTGCAACTTCGTATCGTGTATCAACATATTAATATTTACCACCATTGCAGTTTCTCACAAAACTGATACAAGAACTTTGATGCATTGGAACCCTACATATTGCATATGTTGAAACTCATGGATTGTTCTTCAACATTTTCTTGAGTTTTGAAAATTTGTCTTCCGGCATAATCCAGGACTTCCTTTCTACAGATATGGAAATGGAGCTTCTATAATAACCACATCTAGTATAGCTGCTAGGAGGTTTCAGACTGAGGTTAAGGCTGGATTGGTAAGCATTATTTATTCTATATGTAAGCACTATTTTATCACAAGCCATGGCAATGGAATCTGAAAGTGATTCACCAACCTATGAAGTACAAGTGGCCATCACTGATGCAGATATACCAAACACAACCATGTCGGCTGCATCTACATCAACCGAGAAGGATCACACAAGCCGGGATGTTTCCCTAGTGCTTCCTTTAGCATCTAAGAGTGTTATGTCACTAGCATTATCATCTGCATTGCAAAGGGACTTAACTAGCCAAGGAGTGTCTGTCGCACACCACTGGCATCAGAGAGGATGTATGTTTCTGAAACATCTCAGTGGAATGAAATTTCACTAGAAACATCATAAAGGAGTGAAATTGTTCAACCAACTTCTGAGAGGAGTCATGTTTCTGAATCTCAGATGAATGGAAACTTATTTACCCACAATAGGACTGATACTGTTGCGGCTTTGAAACCCGAGGGCATGTACTTGCCCATGTCACATAAAACTGATAACATGTCTCAAATATGACAAGGGAGAGATAACACCAGTCCCTTGTCTTGTAGGATGGATGCTACTGTGCATTCAGACTTGATGGGGCATTCATGCTAGCAGCATCTCATTTGAACGAAAGTATGGGTCCAACATTTGAAAGTACTGACCCCATGTTTCCAACTTCTGAGAGATTATACATGCCTTCATCATCTCAAAGGTCTGATATTCCAACTACGGAGAGAATGTATATCCCTGCAGCATCACATGATAAAAACGAAAGCAATAGTCAGCTTGATGATGCTTTGGCTCCCTCTTCTGAGAAGCTATATATTTCTACAAACAACTCTGAATCCTATAATTTCAATGGATGAATTGCCCAGCCAAGCTTTGCCATCATCTCAGAGGATATAAGATGTAAAAACATGTTATATTACTCTTTTTTCTTATAAAATTCCTTCTGAAATAGTAATACCATTACCAATCTGTTTAGCCCCCATCTTGTTGAGCACCGGAGCATGTGGATTTTAGGGTAAAAGAGAAAACTAGGAAAACATTAGCCTGCATTGGGACAGTACTAGACAGAGCCTCCTTAGATAATAAAACAATGGTTGTTTCATCTTGTACTTTCAATCATTTTATCTTGCATTTCCATTTTTTTTTAAATTACAAAATTGTCCTCAGTAATTTAAAAAATCCTACATTCTATTTTTTTTTTACTTCATTAAATTTCTTTGATAAAGGATTTTTTTTATCGAATTTCAAAATCTGATAAAAATTTTCTTATTAAATTTTGAAATCTGATAAAAAATTATCAAATTTTAAAATTTGATGAAGAAATTCTACTTATCGTATTTAAAAATTTGATAAAAAATATGAAAAATCTTTCATTAAATTTTGAAATTTGATGAAGAAAATTTTCATCATCAAATTTTGAAATCTGATTAAAAGAATATATAAAATTATTTTTGAAAATTTAAGGTACATAATAAAATTAGGATTAAATATGTTTTTAGTTCTTAAACTATCATGCTATTTTGGGTTTTGTCCCTCTTCGAAAGATTTGTTCATTTTCATCTTGAGTTAGGAAACTCATATTTTTAGTCCTTTAAAAGTAAAGGTGTTAGATATTTTGTGAGGTGGCTAACAGTGAGCCATGTGGATGTCAGTTTCCCTGACAAGTGTGTGTCATGTTTCTCTTTTTTTTCTCAATGGAGAATCTTCCACCACCTCCGACACCGTCTTAAAGTCTCCACCGCCATTCGCAGCCACCATGAAACACCCTCATCCACATATGCAACCATTAGTGAACAATCGCTGTGACGTAGAAGCACTTCAGTGCTGCCATCACCTCGAGCAACCATCACCTCCTCGCATAGTTCACCTGCAACCCAAACGCAGCGGAGAAATTCTTCTTCACCATCAATAACCAGAAAGCCACTGCACAACCTTCATGCCTCCACCATCGCCATTCACATGCAAACCTAGAAAACCAACATAGTCCATCTCCACTGCCCAGAAAAACCCAAAATCACGTCGTGCTTTCATCACCAACCTAGAATCACGAAGAACCCTACAACCTCAACCTCTTCATCATCGCGCAGGCTTTCATTCTCGACAACACCTGCAAAGAAACGCAATCAACCCAGATAATCATCTTCCACCAAGGCCTTAATTCTCTTTCGTGAGTGTCATAACCCTAAGACGCGAGTTCCTCTAAGCGCGACCTCCTTGCCCAAGTTGCATCTTCGTGCTGCCATGACAAAGCAAATAAGAAAACTCAATTCGGGTTCTCCAATCTACACCACGAATTCGGATAACCTACAACATCTATGAAATGGCAAAATGACAAGTAGAACTCACGTGTCTTCACGGCTGCAACACCTCCCTTATTTCAGAAACCCTAATTTTTGGGGAAAAGGGGGCAACAAGTCTGATAGCAAGAAAGAGAAAGATGGTGAAGGTGCCCAAAGACGGTAGTGAACGTCGATGTGGTGGTGGCTGTAGACGATAGTGGAGACTTTAAGTTGTTTTCGGAAGCGGTGGACGCTGCTTCGTTAAAGAGTAGTAAAAGAGAAAAAAAAAGAAAAATGTGACATACACTCATCAGGAAAGTTGGCATCCCACCTGCCTTACCGTTAGTCACCTCACAGAAAATCTAACGTCATTGTTTTTTAAGGACTAAAGATACGAGTTTGTTAACTAAGAGGACGAAAATGAACAAATCTTTTAAAGAGAGACGAAATCTAAAATAACATTATATTTCAAAGACTAAAAATATATTTAACCGATAAAAATAATTAGAAGTTCATATGAAACAATCTAAGACAATGTTTTTCTTATTCGGCCATGTATGGATTAGCACGGCCCTGAGTCCACATGCTTCTTTGAATCCAATATTGATAAATGGGATGATTTTATTTTTTTTTCATATTTTTGTGTAGCTTTATGCTAAATTCTCTTTTGGTAAGTATACAGTCTTTATATATTAGAAGTGATAATCAAGAATGTCCTATTTCTCGAGACTAGAAAATTTCACTGAAATTTAATTATCTTTTTCGGAAATTCTGTACAAATTATATATAGTTTTTCAATAACTTTTATGATTTAGCGATGTTTACGTTTAAGTAAAAAAAAAACATACATAAATGAAGGAATATGTTAACAAGAATAATTATTGCGATTTGATTTCAGTTGTTAACAGTTCTGCGACCTCTAAATGCATATATATAATCTAAATCTTTTAATTTTTAAATTCTATTATTCATTCCAAGATAATCTCTTTTAGTCTTGATAGTATAAGAATATTAATAAGTGATGAATTATTTAAGAGAAATAATATCATCACACATTTATTATAAAATTTTGTATTCTTTTAAGAAAAAAAGAAGAAGAAAAAGTAAGTAAGGATTAAAAGATTTAAGTGTATGAAATAATATTTTTCATTATTTAATAACCAAATTAAAATCTATGCATTTTACTGAGAACTTTCATATTCAGTAGTTTAGAGTCTGTATCCAGAATTTTGCATTTTTGAGTGATTTGATTTAGATCATAGACCAGAAATTATTTTTCAATGACAATCAAATTTCAAGCTGATGAGCACGAAGAACAAATTACATTCAATATGAATAATGAAGATCCTTCATTCATAGGACTTTTACCAACCTCGCTCCAATTCTTGATATTTAAGTAAATTTTATTTCTTTCAATTTTGTGGGTACATGTCCTACAAAGTATCTAATTTGGTGTTAGGGCTAAACTCAATAGATAGCATTTGGGCAATAAAATGGTTATAATTTATCCCCAAAATTTTCAAAGCTTTAGCCAGGAGCATAACATAACAAGCATAGCCATCTGCAGCAGTGGAAAAAGGCAGAAACCGAAATGCAATGTGCTTCCATTTTATATCCTCAAATACATAAAATATGGTGTTTTAAGCCAAGCCTTTCGGTCACTCCACCGCCCCAACAGCAGCAACAAGAAGAAGAAGGAACCTCTCTCGACGACAAACCCAAGCTCATAACTAGTGCTTCTAACCCATTTGTGAAGCACTGCGTCAAGCTTCGCATCTCCTCTTCCTATCGCCGTACTCACGCTTCTGCTCTCGTTGTCGGTGCTACCCCTATCAGGTCTCTGTTTTTCCTCTGCTTTTCTTTGAATGCTCTTTTTCTGCTTTTCCTTTTGGTGGGTTGAGGTACTTTGGCAGTGACCCTTTTGCAATTTTGCTAAGTCTTTGTTAGTTGCATACGGTTTTTAAGCTACATCGCCTTCAAAATTCCAATCTTTCAAAAAAATTAATTAGTGAGTTTTTGTTGAAATATTGTGCAACTTGCGGAACATGTTATCTCATATAATGTTAATTTGGTCATTAATAAACACAAGCTACAGAGCATGCTGTGAAAAGCTTTACATAGAAACTTGTGGAAATAAGGTAAAAAAAACTTAAAGAAGTCATAAGCTATTTCATTAGCCAAGACACGTTCCTGTTATTGTGCTTTCACTAATTATTCATCTGATAACAGGTACTAAACTTCAAATTACATTGTCCTATCTAAGCTTAAACAGTTTTAAATTATATGAATAGTGGAAACCTATGCGGTTGAGCTCAAATCCTCAAAGTATTATTCATTAAGTAATGTACTGAAATAAATTACCTGAACCTTATTCTTTGTTTTCTTGTCTACATTTTAGGATATCACTTCAATATGTACAAAACTACAATTTCAGGCAGAATATGGCTTGATTCATCCCTTTTAGTTCTTAAGCCAGTTAGCATGGACTTATTTTATATGGATCTTTTCTCTACAATTAAAGTATGGATGATATGTATGACTAAAATTATGGAATAAAACTACATGGGTGAATGATATATAATTGTTGTTTGCAGAGAAATCTGCAGGTTTCAAGAGTCATTACAAGATGAAAGTGTTTCAATGGATTGTTTAATTCTTCCTGACAAAGCTGAGATTCCTGATGGGTTGGATAAATCCACTGCTTCTATTGTGCGTGTGACCTCCACAGTGATGAGAAAGCTTTCAGGGCTGCAAACTACTGACTCTCTAGATGCAATTGCTCTTGTGAAAATTCCTGCCAGTTTTTTCAATGTTGATGATGATCAAAAGAACTACCAGAAATGGTTTCCATCTGTTCATCGGATATTAGTCCTTGATGGGATTCAGGTGATACATAATGTCACTTCTTGACTTTACCATTTCGAGTCTCTGAATGTTCACTTGATCATCTTTCTTGTTGATGGTTGCACCACTGTTCCTGGTTTGACCTATTTTTGTCAATATTGCCACTTATTCTATGTAGTTATTTTTTGCACTTCTGATTAATGTAGGACCCTATATACTTATTGGAAACATCACAAACATAAATTGAATTACCAAGCTTTCATAAAAAGTTTAATTATTGATGTTGTACAATCTTTATCAATGATTGTGTTCTGGGTAGAATATGAAACATAGCTCTAGTCTACATTCTAAATTTTGAGAGAGAAAATAATAAAATTAATATTTCAAGTTCATGTTCCTCAAATGAAGCTCAGAATCATTTCCAGTTCTCCATAGCCATTGCTCCCCTCATTTTGCATATAGGATACAGGAAAGTAGAACATTCATGGACTTCAATTACGATAAGGGCTTGAATAATCTGTTTGTCATGTGTTATTTTATTTGAATGTTTCAAAGTGTAAACATTGAGAGAATCCTGTTGGTTTCAAAAACTTCGTGTGCATTAGTGATATTTGAGAATTGTTTTCTGCAGGATCCTGGCAACCTTGGTACATTGCTCAGATCAGCTGTGGCCTTCAGATGGGTAAGGAATTATCTTCCTCCCCTGGGCATAGGTTCATGGAGCATTGTTTTCATATCATTCTATTGATCCTCTGTGCGTGATTTTCTAACCCTGTTTTATGGACATGGTACATGATTGCTACATTAAACTTTAACTAGTTTCAGGGAATGGGATCTTCTCGTCTAAGAGTTCCTGATAAGGTTTTACTTGTTTTAATTGATGTCTTACATTTCAAACAAATTTTTAGAATGTTACGCTTATTCATAATTCTTTTAATCGGCACATTCGTTTGTTTGCATTGAGAGACGTACGGAATCAATTTACAACTTAATTCTCTCCTCAATAGGAACTTCCTCCCATTGTTGTCAAACTCAAGGATAATAAAAGAATAGTGGGTACAAGATCATAACTCGAGGATAAAGAGATTGACAAAGATAATAAAATCCTTTCTAGAATGCATAAATATACATAAATAATAGCATAAAGAAGCAAAATAACTAATAACTCTTAATAAGTCAACAGAAATTACTAGACTCAAACAAACAACATACAGCAAACACCAGATGCAAAAACACTAAGAAAAGATGAAAAACATAATAGATCTACTGTAAATTGTTGTTTATAGTGTTAAGAAATTGTTGTTTATAGTGTTAAGAAGTAGATTTTAAACCTAATTCAACCTTACAAAACCGACTTATAAGATAAGCTTTGTACTCACTTATATAATATAAACTCGCTTTATTTATAGTCCATGTGAGACTTCTAACACACCTTCCTCATGCTTATACATATACATTTCGTGCATGAGACTAGACATTAATAATTCGATAGTGGATAAAACAATAGATTTAACAAACATCAAATTCTGCTAGGATAGACTCTAACTTAACTCTGATACCATGTTAAAAGTTAGATTTTAAGTTTAATTGAATCTTATAAAATTAGCTTGTAAAGTGAAATTTGTACTCACTTAGGTATTGTAAACTCGCCTTATCTTATTTTTAGTTAACGGGAGACTTCCAACAATTAGGATAAAAAATTCTGTAGGATCTCCATTTTAAAATCTTTCTAATTATTTCAACATAGTTTGTTTCATATTTGAATATTATAACTAAAATTCCTTTTGTAATTTTAATTCAAACTTGACATGTTTGCATGTGACAGGATGGAGTTTTCCTTCTTCCCGGCTGCTGTGATCCATTCAATGAGAAAGCTCTTCGGGCTAGCCGAGGTGCCTCCTTTCAGATCCCTGTTGTTTCTGGCAGCTGGAATCACGTGGAGTCTCTCAAAGAAGAATTTGAAATGAAGTTGCTGGCTGGGCACCCAGAGCTTGGAGAGTTGCTAAAGCCAGTGTGCTCTCTCTCTCAAACCTTGTGTGATTCCTTATCAGATACACCATTGTGTTTGGTTTTAGGAAGTGAAGGAAGTGGCCTTTCAGAAAAATCCCTGCAGGCTTGTGAACTTGTGAGCATTGCTATGGCCGGAGAATACGAGTCGCTCAATGTCTCAGTTGCAGGTGGAATTTTCTTGTACATGCTACAACCAAAGAATCGATGATTTTGTATTTATTGTCTCATTTAAGTTCATCATAAGCTTCATCGTCTTATGCTGATTGCAAATTTTCTCCTTTTTTTTCATCCCTTCTTAAAATTAGAACTTAAATGTCATTTAAGTTATGAAATGAGCTCATATTGAATTTGATCTCTTCAAGTTTTCTGTTTTTAATTCTTAGTATTTGAAAGAACTGTTTCTATTCTGTTTTTCCCTAATAAATATATTTCATTTTAGAAATCTTAAAAGGTATCACTGATAATAGTATTACAAACATGAATATTATCTGAATTCGTCCTTATATAAATAAAGAATTTCGCATAATATTCAAATTGATATAGGTAATATGTAAGTTTTAAATCATGAACATTGACGAGGGCTTTTATACCCGTTTCTATTTTTATTTACTAAAATGCTTTTAATTGATTTTACACATTATTTTAAAGTTTATAAAATTATTTCTTCTTTTTTATACTT